GCATGCTAGACATTTGCAATTGGTTTTGAGTGTGTTGAGAGAGCACAAGCTGTATGCAAAATTGTCCAAGTGTGAATTCTGGTTGAGTGAGGTGACATTCTTAGGACATGTTATCTCTGCCACCGGTATCCAGGTAGACCCCAGCAAGATTTCAGCCATAGTGGACTGGAAGACTCCGCGGAATGTTCGTGAGGTGAGGAGCTTCCTTGGGTTAGCCGGTTACTATCTTCGATTTGTTAAGGGCTTCGCCTCGATCGCTACTCCATTGAACAAGCTACTGCGGATGGACATCAAATTTGAGTGGTCAGAAGCGTGCCAGCGCAGTTTTGATCAACTAAAGGAGTGCCTGACCCAGGCACCAGTCTTGATTCAACCTACTCCTGGCATCGAGTATACCATCTATAGTGACGCATCTCATAGCGGCTTAGGTTGTGTACTGATGCAGTTGAGTAAGGTAGTGGCCTACGCATCGAGAAAGTTGAAGACTCACGAGGAGAACTACCCGACACATGATTTAGAGTTGGCAGCCGTGGTGTTCGTCTTGAAGATTTGGCGCCACTACATCTTTTGAGAGAGGATTCACATTTTCACCGATCACAAGAGTTTGAGGTACCTACTCACCCAGAAGGAACTGAATCTTAGACAACGTCGATGGTTGGAGCTAATCAAGGATTACGATTTAGTCATTGAGTATCACCCGGGCAAGGCTAACATCGTGGCCGATGCTTTGAGCAGAAAATTGTTAGCCGAGCTACAGCTTCAGTCTCCGTTAGAGCAGGAGATCCGTACAGCACAGAGAGATGATGAGTTTTGTCAGAAGACTCGAGAGTTAGTTCCTACAGGAAAGAGGCTCGAGTTTGCAATTCGCGATGACGGAGTCTTGTACTATCGTGAATGCCTAGTGGTGCCCGCGGGGGAGTGAGGGGTCGCTTGTTACGCGAGGCTCACGGAACCGTATACACTATGCACCCGGGTAGTAACAAGATGTATCAGGATTTGAAGAAATCCTATTGGTGGCCAGTTATGAAAAAGGAAATCTCCGAGTTCACTGCGCGCTGTTTGACTTGTTAGAAAGTCAAGGCTGAGCACCAGGTTCCGACAGAATTGCTGCACCCTCCTACCATTCCGGAATGGAAGTGGGAAAGGATCACTATGGACTTTGTGATCGGATTGCCACGATCTTCACGAAAGAATGACGCCATCTGGGTCATTGTTGACAGGTTGACAAAGTCCGCTCATTTTCTACCCGTCAGACGTGACTCCTCCATGGACAAATTGGCAGACTTATACGTTAGAGAGATAGTTCGGTTGCACGGTGCACCG